TTGATATTAGAAAGCCGGCCAAAAAAATTATGTTGCCAAGTAATTTGTTGTGTTTTGAATCTTGTAACTTTCAATATTTATTTCAATTGATATTAGAAAGCCGGCCAAAAAAATTATGTTGCCAAGTAATTTGTTGTGTTTTGAATCTTGTAACTTTCAGTATTTATTTCAATTGATATTAGAAAGCCGGCCAAAAAAAATGATGTTTCCAAGTAATTTGTTGTGTTTTGAATCTTGTAACTTTCAGTATTTATTTCAATTGATACTAGAAAACAAAGTTGGCGGGACTTTGGATTAAGCCAATTGACTTGTAAAGCTCAAAATTAGGAAGTGTACAGTCACCTATTAGATAATCGCCCATGTTCAATTTACACACATCTTCATAAAAGTTCTTAAAATGTTTACCTTTAAACCAACTTCAAATCAGCGCTTCAATGGCAATTTGAAATTAACACATTTCGAGTGTTACAAGTCGATTGGTAAAACTTAAGTCCTGCCAATTGTTTAAACACAAGAAACCTTAATTGACCTAAAACATCTGACTGGTTAACAGCGTCACGGAACGAAGCAAGAAACATAATAATTTTTTTACCTTTCTTTGAGCGTTCTTTGCATAAACATCAAGCCATTCATAGCGTAAGAATAATGAACAAATGACAAAGTGATAATCTTCGGAAACAAAATTTATTTTTACAAAACAATTTCATGATACACAAATAACAATTACTTCTGTAATAAAGTACAGAAAGTTTAAAATATATATATATATATATATATATTTTTTTTTTACTCATTAAGCAAAGGGTGGAAAATATTTCACCGAATCCTTCCTCAACTTACGAAGTTATTGGTAACACAAGAGTAATAGTTATCTCAAATACATTTTAGACTGCAAGCTTTAAAAATATTGATCGCTGATTAAAAGCAGTCCCCCGGTGGGACAGAGGTAAGTCTTGAGATTTATAACGCTAAAATTAGGAGTTCGATTCCCCTCGGGGGGCACAGCAGATAGTCCGATGTGACTTTGCTATAGAAAAACACACATTAAAAGCAAATTTACTCTGTTCTTATAGAGATATAGTATAGCTACGTAGCAGCTCAAAAATTAAACATATTACGTTTCAGCCGAGCAGCATGGGTTTTCATGTTCAATCTTTATACGTTTAAGATTGGAACAATCTCATAATTTGTATGAACGCTACTGTTATAAAATCGATGCGAAATACCCCCAGTATAGATAAGATTATAGCCGCATGAGCTATTGAATAAAAGTAAGAAATTATCTTTAATTAAGAGTACGTTAAATATATTGTTTTGTTTGTTTGTTTTTTTAATTTCGCGCAAAGCTACACGAGGGTTATCTACGCTAACCGTCCCTAATTTAGCAGTGTAAAACTAGAGGGAAGTGCGAATGTAGATGACACCTGGTGTCACTAGTCAGAGTAAAATAATGGCTAAAGTTATAATCAAATGTAGGAACTAGATAATTTGGAAAGTTACGAGCCTAGAATAGTTCAGTACATGTATAAGAAAATATTCCTTCGAGGGAAGTCTCACAGAACATTGGATATCCAGGTTAAGTAGTTAGCACACAGGATCACCTACAAAAAGTTGTAATATTTTCAAAACGAGACCCAAAACTCGAGCACTTTCGAATGGTTAACTACTGTTCTTCAGGAGAACAAAGGGCATTGGATATGATATAATATAATCGTGTAAGATGGTTTACATTTAACAGGTTCGGCATGGCCAGGTGGTTAAAGCGCTGGCTGAGGGTCGCGGGTTCGAATCCCCGTAACACCAAACATGCTCGACCTTTCAGCCGTGTGGGCGTTATAATGTGACGGTAAATCCCACTATTCGTTGGTAAAAGAGTAGCCCAAGAGTTGGTTGCGGTGGTGCCTTCCCTTGGTGGTGATGACTAGTTGTCTAAGAAATGTAGTAACAATATATTTCTGAACTAAGAAATGTAGTAACAATATATTTCTGAACTAAGAAATGTAGTAACAATATATTTTTGAACTAAGAAATGTAGTAACAATATATTTCTGAGTTAAGAAATGTAATAATAATGAGCGTTCCTTTTAAGAATTAGACACGCGCAATCCCAGAGATTTAGGAGACCTATAAACTGTTTCGTTTTACTTCGATTTAGAAATATATTGTTACTACATTTCTTTGCTCAGAAATATATTGTTACTACATTTCTTTGCTCAGAAATATATTGTAATGGAATTCTTAATACATGAACTCATTACTATCCATTTCGTTTCGTGTTAATTTTTTTTGGTTTATTTCCAATTATTCTTACGTGGTTAGGCAGGTAGATGAGAGATTTCCGAAGACAACACGCTCCTGATGAAACCCATTTCCCCAGATCTCGAGTATAGATTCTGCTTCTATATTAAACGGTTTTGTTCTAGGTAAATGGAAGATTTCCGAAGACAACACGCTCCTGATGAAACCCATTTCCCCAGATCTCGAGTATAGATTCTGCTACTATATTAAACGGTTTTGTTTGTCCCTTCCATTGATAAACTGTCATTGATAAACTATCCGTATAGACCACTGTGCTACTGGACTGACCTTGGTCATTGATGAACTATCCGTATAGACCACTGTGCCACTGGACTGACCTTGGTCATTGATAAACTATCCGTATAGACCACTGTGCCACTGGACTGACCTTGGTCATTGATAAACTATCCGTATAGACCACTGTGCCACTGGACTGAGGTCATTGACAAACTATCCGTACAGACCACTGTGCCACTGGACTGAGGTCATTGACAAACTGTTTGTATAGATTAGTGTTCCATGGTAATAGACTTGATCTATGACAGCGATTTATGGCTACAGCATATCTATATATACATAGTAAAGTTAGTTCTGTTACAGTGTATCTTACAATATGTTCACTGTATGTTATCTGTTGCTAAACAGAAGCGTATACCGGAAGTCATTCATCTTTGATGTCAAGTTACGCAGTCAGGGCCTAGAAATATGAATGTTGGTCATTTGTGTAGCATCCACTAGCTTGAGATGTTGGTTTATATATATATTACAAATACAGGAATGTTTACAAGTATGTTAATGTTTTTTGAATTGATATCGACCTAGGTAATAAACAACTGGTACACTTATGCGATTTGTAAGTAAGAGCATATTCATTATATTAAATCTTACTTACTAATGTGTTTAAATTTGACTTCGAACTTGTTAAGTTATATTTTTACTTATAAAAACTATTTTGCATTTTTAGCATAACATGGGTGTTGATTTAGGCCTAAGTCTTCTCCAAATTTGATTGAATCCTCTGGTAAGAATTATGGCCAAAAGTATCGTTAACAGCAAAATCACCCAGGTACTGGTTCAAAGTGATCTAATTATTAAAGGTTTCAGTGTGCTGATGTATTGATGTACGACGGTAAGTATTTTTCTATACGCGATTGTCTTCATTCGGGCAGGTAAAAAAAAAAAAAACCCAGAGTCTCATTCATCAGTCATTTCCAGAAACAAGGCCCGGCTTGGCCAGGTCGTTAGGGAGCTCGACTCGCAATATGTGGGTCGCGTGTTCGAATCCCTGTCACACCAAACATGCTCGCCCTTTCAGACGTTTGGGCGTTATAATGTGACGGTCAATCTCACTATTCGTTGGTAAAAGAGTAGCCCAAGAGTTGGCGGTGGGTGGTGATGACTAGCTGCCTTTCCTCTAGTCTTACACTGCTAAATTAGGGACGGCTAGCGCAGATAGCCCTCGAGTAGCTTTGCGCGAAATTCAAACCAAACCAAACCAAAACAATCCAGAAACATAAAATAAAGTGTTTTATTCTTTGAAAAACCAGACTGATAATAAGCACCTATGCATCTCGCCGTTAGGCGATACCAAGCAAAAGTTATCACCAATTATGTTTTTCTACAGGTGGCGCTTTAATAAAACACTTGAAAATAGACGAGGGGTTTCGAATTTTGAAAATTAGAAAATCTGAGGCAACATTTAGATACGTGCTCTTTGTTTTTTTAATTAAGATACATGTATGTATCTTTTAACATAATTTACCTCTAATCGATTTAATCAGTTAGCTCTCACTTAATCAAAACAGGTTAAAATTTCAAAATAACAAAACACAACTGGTTGGCCATGGTAAAGTTACTTTTATATAAAGTCGTTTCTCTCTTCGATGCCTTTTTTTGACTCCTTCCCATCCATAACTCCAAAGTTACCTTCATTTCGATACTTCTGGCCCGAGAGAGGGCATAACTCTCTGTTGGCGCCTCAGTTTCCATACAAAAACTTTAATGAAATGTCATTTCGATACTTCTGGCCCAAGAGAGGGCATAACTCTCTGTTGGCGCGCCAGTTTCCATACAAAAACTTTAATGAAATGTCATTGAAAAAAATCCACTCTTTGTGTGTACATTGCTTAACCACTTCCACGGGACGGGACTCGGTCAATAATGACTCTAATTTTAAAAACCACCACTCTGTTGGTGGCACACCTTCTTATACAGATCACACCTTTACTGTTCCCTGTGAACGGGATGGATAAGTTATAACACTACTGACACACATAATCATCCCTCTGTTCGCCGGGAATGGACTTGGACGATGACAATTGTTCTTTTATGCACTGTTCTGTGGAATGGACTTGATAGGTGACAGACAAAGATACGTTTATTCATCACTGCCTCATTTATCCACGGTATATTACAACACTACGTTTATACATCACTGTTTCTCTGTCAAGGACGCTATTTGAGGGGAAGGCGACAGAGCTTCCTCAAACTCTGGTGACACATTTTTAGTTATGCCGGATTAAAAGATATACACAAATTACGCCACAGCGTAGGGGCCCCGACTGAAGTTGTGGCCCACGCGAGGTCAGTCATTCTTGTCCCCCCACCCCCAAACCTTTTGAAAAAACCACGCTCCTGTTCTATGATTTATGGAAATTAATTTTGGTAGATGACAAGCAGAGCTACTTTTTTTAATCACTGTCTCACTGTTCCACGGGAATATTACAACACTGTTTTACATCATTGTATCACTGTTCCACGGGAATATTACAACACTGTTTTACATCATTGTATCACTGTTCCACGGGAATATTACAACACTGTTTTACATCATTGTATCACTGTTCCACGGGAATATTACAACACTACTGTTTTACATCATTGTCTCACTGTTCCACGGGAATAGACTTGGTCTGTGACAACACAACTTTTTGCTCTAAAGGAGAAAAGTGACTATTGAATAATTTAGTGAATGGTGAATATGAACCAAATCCAAAACTAGACACGTGCGGTGGAAACTGAAAATGGGTTGTTGCGCCGGGGGAATAATGGGGACTTGTCAGTTGTACAGGACTTAAAGGTGTCCAGGGGTGTGTAGGTATTAAAGGTGTCTTACTTTGCGATAGAAAAGGACTGGTAAAGGTGACAACAGGTGTCTGCAAAGAGGCAAATCCACTCGTATATGGCTGTGGACTACTTCCTGGGCTCAATGGGACGGCTTGTATTGGAGGTGGTTTTGGTTTCGATTTAGAAGTGGTAGAAATTGTTGAAGCTACTGTTATCGAATATTTAGGAGGACAATCAACCTTCGATGAAGGTAAAGAAAATGAACTGGAATCTGTATTAACCTCAACTTTTATTCGTTTATTATGTGGCTGCAAAGGTAAACCACTCTGTGCCTCATCATCTTTACTCAATCTTTTGGCCCCAGATCCATTAGAAGAGGTCATTTGTAACCGCGATGAACTTTGAACTGTAGATGTCACGATGTTCCTCTTAGCTTCCACCTTGTGTTTCTCATTCTTAATTAGTTTCTTTTCACTGTCTTCCCTTAGGTCTAGAGGAACAGTTTGTTGATGAGAGTCCAGCTTAGTTTCAGAAGTGGACAACGTACGTGCCAGTGATGGAAGAATAAATGGTAATTTATGAAAATAAATTCCTTTTGTCTTTGCTATACCGTCCATTTTTAGGTGGAAAGGGATCTTGTGCTCGACTTTCATGATTTCAGGGAAGGACACGAAACGATAAACGAATTTTTGCCCTAACACTTTCTTGATGATATTTTTGTCATAATAGTACCTGAGAGCTCGGCTTAGTTTGTCGTAATTCATATTCAATTTGTTTTTTCTCAAACCCCACATTCGAGCAACTTCTTCTGCGTTCAACAGTTTGAATTCTCCTTCACTGTTGGTCCATGTTATGATGTGGTTGTATTGGTTGCTTAATAACAACTCTAGCAAAAATTGCCACAGAGTGATATTTGTATCCATACCTACAGAAAACAGAAACAAAAAACATACATTAGCAATTTTATTAACTGATCCCCTCCTCCACACACACATTATGAATATTTTGGTGTACAAGCTGCAAGATATAACGATTTAAATAACATAACATTAAAATACAACAAGGCTAGGCTGTCCTATTCCCTAAATGAAACTAAAATCTTGTTGTTGTTTTTTAAACACAGAGTCACCCCTCATCATTCAAATATTTATCAAGATTTCCCTTACATTAACTGCATCCACTACATCTGAAGGCAACCCGTTCCAGAGGCTAATCACTCTAACCACCCTGTTAAAAAAATAGCTGAAGATGACTCCTACCCTGTCAAAATTTATATTTGTGTCTTCCAATCCTACTATTCTCACCATTAAGTATGAAAAAAAAGATGATGCATCAACACTATCAAATTCCTTTACATTCTTAAACACCTCAATCAGATCCTCCTTTACAATTTTAAACATCTCAATCAAATCCTCCTTTACAATCTTAAACATCTAAATCAGATCCTCATTTACAATCCAAGTTCCTTAACATTCTTAAACACCTCAATCAGATCCTCCTTTTTCAATTCAAGTTTCTTAACATTCTTAAACACCTCAATCCAATCCTCCTTTACAATCCAAGTTCCTTAACATTCTTAAAAACCTCAATCAGATCCTCCTTTACAACCCAAGTTCCTTAATATTCTTAAACACCTCAATCAGATCCTCCTTTACAATCCAAATTCCTTAATATTCTTAAACCCCTCAATCCGATCCTCCTTTACAGTCCAAGTTCCTTAACATTCTTAAACACCTCAATCCGATCCTCCTTTACAATCCAAGTTCCTTAACATTCTTAAAACCTCAATCAGATCATCCTTTACAACCCAAGTTCCTTAATATTCTTAAACACCTCAATCCGATCCTCCTTTACAATCCAACTTCCTTAACATTCTTAAACACCTCAATCAGGACACCTCTAACTCTTATTTGTTCAAGAGAAAACAAGTTCAGAGATCTTAGCCTATCCTCATATGATAACATATCCAACCTAGTCATCATCCTAGTAGCCCTTCTCTGAACTCTTTCCAAGAATTCAATGTCCTTTTTTGAGGAAAGAAGCCCATGACTGAACACAGAACTTCAAATGTCGCTAAACCAATGACCCGTATAATGATATTATAATCTCTTTAAACTTGTAATTTATATTTCTGTAGATACAACCTAAAAACCCACTTTCCCTGTCACTAGAAATTGCACATTACTTGGATGACTATTGTACGGAAAATATTTCCATATTCATAAAACGTAATCCGAAATTACCAAAAATATCGAAAAAGTACATACTCTAACAAAATAAAATTTGTTTGTTGAATTTAACGCAAAGCTACACGAGAACTATCTGGGCTAACTGTCCCTAATTTTTGAGCTGATAGACTAGAGATTAGACACTTAGTTAACTCCTCCCACCGCAAAATCTTGGGCTACTCCTTTTAAACCGCATCGTTAGTATTTGACCTTCACTCTTTTAACGCAGTCACTGCTCCAAAGTGTGTAGCGCAGTTTTTATTTTATTTTTGGCAGAAACGGGACATGAACCTAGAAACCTCACATCCACAGTTCGGCACGCTAACTAGTGGACCACACTCGGTCATAATACATCTATACATGATTTTCCCGAAAGGGGACTAAAGGCCATCTGGAGGGTTCATCTGTTTTAACCACTCGCACCACTATTCAGTAGTGTGTTGTCTGTCAGTCAATCAGTAGACACTAAAATGACATCCCATAAGGGACGCTTAACATTGCAATTTGTACTATCGTGACGTCATTAAAACATGCGCATGCCATGAATCACGAGAAGAATTGTGCAATTTGTAGGCTACAACACAACACGACATATGAACTTCAAAAGCAAGAAACAAAAATATGTGCTACTCTTAATTTTGGTTTTATTTACTCTTGAAATAGAACACTTTCGGGGACTCTGCGGAATTATGTCTAGTATTATATTAAATGATTTATCATAAGATAGGTGGAATAAGAATATTAACCATAACAAATGAGAAATGTAACACTTAAAACTCTAATTGAAGGAAGCATATCTGGCATGTAGTTAAAATTCTAACAAGCCATGTGTTTTGAGACTCTGTGATAAATCGTGTGTAGGAATGAGTAATTTAACCCTAGATTAATCGTAATTAATCATATATATATATAAACGAAGTAGTAAATAATTTAAATGGTTGATGAAGGTCCTGGTTATGTACACAAAATTGACCTCCGCATGGTCAGTTCAGTTCACTTAGCTAGGCTGATAAGAAGTGATACTGTGGTCAGGAAAACATTTCCCAAGTTTGTGAGTAATGAAACTTAATTAGCTAAAACTGAGACGTTTGTTAAGATTGATCTGGACGCATATAATTGCAGTGATTTGAATTGACCTGTTCACAAATTATTACAGTTATATAATTCATCTGGACGCATATAATGACAGCCGAAGTAGCGCCGAGTGGAGTTAAAGTCTACCCAAACAGCCTGTACCTTAACACGAGTTGTAATTTGTATCAAACACACTCATGCATAGTTTTATGGATACGACAAGATGTTGCCTTGACAACAGTGTCGGATATAAAAGGAAAATCTAACGTCATATCTCACTCCTGTATACAAAGTTTTCCCTTCAGATGAACCATTTAACCCTATTTTTCTTAGAAATTTATTCCAATTGGTTTGTTTGTTTGTTTGTTTGAAATTAAGCCCAAAACTACACAAAGGGCTATTTGTGCTATGCCCACCACGGGTATCGAAACCTGGTTTATAGCGTTGTCAGTTCGCAGATATACCGCTGTGCCACTAGGGGGCGTGTCTTTGCTCTCAAAACAAACAATCTATATATGTTCTTCCTGGAGCCTCATTTATTTATGGGTCTAGACTGTCTCATGATGCCTTAACATTTGAATAAATGGTGTTCGTCTTATGATGCTTTAGCATTTGTCCAAATGATAATGTCCGTCTTATGAAGAAGTTGGAATCAAACGGTAAATCCCCCCCCCAGTGGTGCATCGGTATGTCTGCGGACTTACAACGCTAGAAACCGGGTTTCGATTCCCGTGATGGGCAGAGCACAGATAGCCCACTGTGTAGCTTCGTGCTTAATTACAAACAAAAACTAAACAAATCAAACGGTTAAACTTGTGTACTTGTGGTCAAAATGTTGTACCCATTCTTAAAACAAATCTTACTTACTGTAAAAGCTGTAACTTGCAATGAAATATACAGAATCAATAAGTAAACTCAAAACGAAAAAAAACTTTGGTCAAGGCCAGTAAAAACAGGGTTCCAAGACTGATTACGGCCACAAGAGTGCATTATTAATTAATTACTAATTCGTAAAGTCATGAAACTTGTATCCTTTGCATTCGTCTAAATGATGATACTTCAGGACTGACGGGAAAAATGCTGTCTTGAAAATTGTAAAGATGTAACCACTTCATCTTAAGTGTCAGAGCAAATTGCAGGGCTCGTTTCATTATTAGGGAATTTTGAAATGTGCTGTTTTGCACGTCACGTTAGACATTACATTATGACAGACGCGGAGTCACGCGTGAATGCTTCATGATATAAGGAATGTGGTCGTGACAGAAGCATCATCCCCGGTAGTAATTAATTCTAATTCGCATTTCCTTTTATTTCTTCATTTTGGATCAAAAACGACCAATCAATCATTTTTACGTCCGAACAAAAAAGGGACAGCGGTAAGGTTACGGGCTTACAACGCTAGAATCCGAGGTTCGATTCCCCGCACTGGACACAGCAGATAGCCCAACGTGGCTTTGCTCCGAAAACCAACAAATAAACTGAACAAAAGATTTTGAAATTTGATTCCAGATAAATAAAAAGGAAAAAAATCTCAATTATCCCAAAACAAATAAGCTCGTGAAAAGATCGCAAAGAGTCACACACGTGGACTTTGTTTAAACAACTATATTTTGTTGTTGTTGTTACTGTTGTTTTTTTCGAAGACTGGTCAATATTTTATTCACCTTACTCGTGTTACTTGGGTGAGCAACCGTTATATCGTTATCACTGGTGTCAGTGTATAATTTAACTATATTCCTCCTCCAAGTGGTGCTGTAGCTTCTAAAGAAATCGCACAAGTTCTGGTCGCTTCTCAGTGCTGTAGTTTCTAAAGAAATCACACAAGTTCTGGTCGCTTCTCAGTGCTGTAGCTTCTAAAGAAATCACACAAGTTCTGGTCGCTTCTCAGTGCTGTAGTTTCTAAAGAAATCACACAAGTTCTGGTCGCTTCTCAGTGCTGCAGCTTCTAAAGAAATCACACAAGTTCTGGTCGCTTCTCAGTGCTGTAGCTTCTAAAGAAATCACACAAGTTCTGGTCGCTTCTCAGTGCTGTAGCTTCTAAAGAAATCACACAAGTTCTGGTCGCTT